GGGTGCCCACTGGTGAGGTGAGTCCTCCATCGTTCTTCTACCTCGAGGGCAGCAGGAGATGGGAGGATGCTTGAGGGCTGTGCGGTGAGGGAGGAGCATGGTCACGATGCTGCGGATGCACTAGTGTGAGAACCCCTCTGCATGAGCATCCCTGGGGGAGGGTCTGACAGTGAGGTGGCCTCACGAAGGCTCTGTTTTGGAGGGGCCTTTTCCATCCTTCTTAGTGGGGGCCATAGACTTTCTCCCAAACAAACTAGGAGGTGGTCTTAAAAACCACTCACCCCCCCAAAAAAAAAAGTGAGAAGCAGGCAGAAATCACACTCCGTTTTACTTGCACACCGACCACCACCAACAGCAGTGCACTGGACACCTCCTGTGAGACGCAGGCAGCCCTGGGAAAGTCAGGCCATCTCCTCACACTCAGGTTCTTTAAGGAATGCATGAGCTGGCATGTGAGGTCACGCATCCCTTTTCGGGGGTGGACCTGCATCAGGACAAAGAACTGACCCTAAAGGGGCTTACAGGTGCATCCCTTCTCCTGGGGCCAAGCAGTTTGCCTTATCTCAGTCTGCACAGAGACGAGGCAATGGAGACTCAAGGAGTGTATGCAGTGTGGCGTTGTCACTGTCAGCTGATGGGGTTTCATCTAGATTGAGACCCTCACCCAGTAGGTAAGAATGCTGGTGGAGCTGGCTGGCTTTATGCTCCACCTCCATGGAGCACCAGCTCAGTTGGGATGTGTTGCGTGCCTTACCTGCCGGAGGGTAGACTGGTCAGTCTCTCAGCCACACCTTGTGGGCCTCGGACTTCCCAGAGGGTCCATGTTGGGTCATTTTCCTCAAGGTGCATGCTGCACGTTGCCTGAGATGAGAAGTGTGTTTTCCAGGGGAATGTGAGCATTCTACCACTGACCTGTCCCAGCCCTTTCTCAAGTGTGGCACTGGGCAAACCCATGACTATTCCCCGGCTGAACACGGACTTCCTCACCCCCGGTAGTGAGGGGTGCTTTGTGCTTCTCCAACTAATAGGAGAATACTTTTCTGCTTGAAGGTGTTGTAGAGATGCTACTTGTGCAGGGTTTGGGAATGTTGTTTTTCTATAAGTCTGACAAACATCAACACTTCATTTCTATTAGGACTGAGACCCTTTAGCTTCAGGTTTTCAAGGGTCTGAGGGACGCCCACTCTCTGCTGGCTGGTCACCAGATGAAATTGTGTATTTGGATAATAATCTCTTTCTGGTCATTATGGGGCTGTGCTCAGCCAGGTGTCAGCCTCTCACTGGTCACTAGGGGAAGATTTGTATCCAGGTGCTAGTATTTCCTTGGTTGCTTCTTGGCAGTGTCCATAGTTGTCATTCTGTTGCTCACCACGAGAGGGCAGTGTGCACAGGGTGCCAATCTCCTCCTGGTCACAAGAGGGCAGTGTGCTCAGGGTGCCAATCTCCTCCTGGTCACAAGGGAGCAGTGTGCACTTGAAATAACACAGTCCTTGGTTTCTAGGGGTCTATGTGTACAGGATGTCATTATATCGCCCCAGAATGCAGAGTGCACAGGTGTCAATCACTCCACAGTCACCAGGAGGCAGTGTACACAAGTGTCAGTCTTTCCCTGGTCACAAGAGGGCAGTGTGCACATGGTGCCAGTCTCCTTGGTTGCTAGGGTGCAGTGTGCACAGTGTTCCAGTCTCTCTCTGGTCTCTAGGAGGTGGTGTGCAGGGAGTTTGTGTCTCTCCCTGGTTGTTACAGAGCCGTGTGCACTGAGTGTCATCTGTTTGAAGTCTCCAGACTATGATGTTCAGAGGGATCCAGAATCTTCTGGTTGTTATCACGCAGTGTGCACAGGTGTCAGTATAACCCTGGTCACTAGGGTGCACTGTGCACAGGGTGCCCTGGGTGCCAGTTTCTCCCTGGTCTCTAGGGGGCAGTGTGCACTATTGCCAGTCTCTCCCAAATAGCTAGAGGGCAGTGTACACGTGTTTCATTCTCTTTCTTGTCACTAGGGGGCTGTATGCACAGGTTCAGTCTCTCTTTGGTCACTTGGGGCAGTGGGCACAAGTGTCAATCTTTCCTTGGTCACTTGGGGCAGTGGGCACAAGTGTCAATCTTTCCTTGGTCACTAGGGGGCAGTGTACACAGGTGTCAATCTCTCTTTAGTCACTAGGGGGCAGGGTGTACAGGTGTCAATCTTTCCTTGGTCACTAGAGGGCAGTGTACACAGGTGTCAATCTTTCCTTGGTCACTAGGGGGCAGTGTACACAGGTGTCAATCTTTCCTTGGTTATTAGGGGGCAGTGTACACAGGTGTCAATCTTTCCTTGGTTATTAGGGGGCAGTGTGCAATTAGTGAATGACTCACATTCTTTGATACTTTGAGCATGTTGTCCAATCCTATTTTGGGGTAGGGTTTTTATTTTGTTTTGTTTGTATTGTTTTAAGGCAAGTCTGTTGTGTGCTGAAGGATCTTCTTTTGCTGTTGATTCTGCCTTTTTTGGCTAATGACATGACAGATATAAATTACTATTATCATGTTGTTGTTATGTGCCGTCAAGTCGCTTGTGACTCATAGTAACCTATGTACAACAGCCCTAAACTCTGCTCTGTGCTGTGCCAATCGCACTGTCTCTGACACACCCATCCCAATTACCCCAGTCACTGAATCAATCCACCTCATAGAGGGTCTTCCTCTCCTGCGCTGTCCCTCCACCCTCCCAAGCATGATGTCCTTCTCCAAGGACCTCTCCCTCCTTACATGTCCAAAGTATGTCAGACGAAGCCCTAGAATCCTTACCTCCAAGGAGTAGTCTGGTTTAACACTCTCTAGGATGAATCTGTTTGTTTTCCTAGTAGTCCATGGTATTCTCAATACTCTTCTCCAGCACCACAACTCAAAGGCGTCAATTCTCCTTCTATCCTCCCTAGTTATTGTCCAACTCTCTGATGCATAACAAGTGATTGCGAAGACCATGGCCTGTACCAGATGCACTTTAGTCTCCAGAGAGACACCATTGCTCTTCAGCACTTTGGAGAGGTCCCTGACAGCAGACTTTCCCATCGCAATAAGTCTTTTAATTTTTGTTATATCCATAATATATTTGTTTCTAAAATTTTCTTTTTCTGAGTTCCTTTTGTTATCTGCTTTTCTACTAATTTTCTTTAAGCTGGTTCTTTTTGTATTTGCTAAGTTCTGATTTTCTTCTTATTTTGGTTAGAAGATTTCTTAATGTCATTTCTGGTATTACTGTATTTTTTTGTGATTATCTTCCCAAGTTTATCAATGTGCTCTATCTTGATATAATCTTGACTTCCTCTCTAATTTGAATTTCTGTTTCTACATAATTTTCTCTTCTGTGTGCCTTGAAGTTGTCATTGTTTACAAGTTAGTGTCTCCTGTTTCTGATCTTCAGTCTTGTAGGTTTATTTTTAAAAAGCCCTGGTGGCATGGTGGGCTCTGAGTTGGACGGCAAATACAAAAGGTGGCAGTTTGTATCTAGCTGCCCCTCCATATGTGAAGAAACGCAGTGCTTTCCCGTTAGGATTCATAGATTCAGGTAGCTGATAGAAGGTTACCTTGAGTTGCAATCAAGATATGGCAGTAGTTTGGGTGTTTGGTTTCAAACAAAATCAAAGTCATTCTCGCCAGTTTACAGAGGCTGCAAATGGCACAGGAAGAGACTGCTCATGTTGGCTTTACTTTTATTTTGTCTTTTATCCTTTAGAATCAAGGTTGTTTTCTGGATTATGTGGTCATGCATTTTAATCTCCAGTTGCTGTTCACCATATCTGTTGGGTTTTTTTTTTTGAGGGACATCTTCGGGCATTTCTTGGGAGATTAATTATTTTCATAGGTTCATCTAATTTATATTTTCGTAGTAGAGTGTGAATTTTACCATCTCATTTTTTGGGATCAATTTTGGTGAACATAAAATTGTTTATTGACAGGTTTAGAGTTTTTCTTTTAGGGTTTGGTCATGCCATTCCATTGTCATTTTCCTTACAGAATATCTCCCTAAAAAAATCCAAGGCTGTCCTGGTTCCCCGAGCCGCTTTGGTTTGCTTTGGGGTTGGCTTTGGAAATTTCATCCTATCTTTCCTTGATGATTTTGGAGTTTTTCTACTTGTGCTATGTGGAGTTCATTGAGCTTCGTGAACTCATGGATCTTTACTAATACCCTCATTCCTCCCTCCACCCACCAACTCTTTGACCCCCGTGACTTGCACCCCTCCTCACCCAGCCCCTCTGGCCATTCCCTTTCCCTCATAGGATATACATACACATCTCACTAGTGATCCTTCTGCTATGAGAGAAACAGTATTATGCAGTATTTGTCCTTATGAGCCTGAGTTAGTTCACTCAGTATAGTGCTCTAGTCTCTTCCACGTTATATAGCCTTTTTCAAAGTCGTTACTTCCGAGTGATGCATAGCATTACATCGTGTGACTGTACCACAGTTTCTCAGTGCAGTGGTTTGTTGAATGTGACCTTTGACATTTCAGCATGATGAAGAGACAACTGACAGAATGACACGATGAATAATTGTACTGATAGAAATTTTTATTGACAGTGAATTGTACTTAAAGCACAAATATGGAAGCCCGCTCTAAAGAAGGGGCCTCCTGGTGCACTGGGCTATGTTAGGTGGTGGGAGGAGGAGGAGGCTGGGGGAGGTCAGCAGTGGTGGTTTTTCCTAGTTTGGAAGCAGGAAGGTAGAGGTTCTCATGAGCCTCTGGTGACCCTGACGTGGAGATCGGTTCCTGGAAGTGGAAGACAGTGTTCCTGAGAGGAATGAAACTTGCCAACCATGGCCACTTACTCCTTAGAGGGCCGTTGTGAGCGCAGGACTGCTCTCTGGCCTGAGTGAGGTTGTCTCCCAGGATGTCCACTCAGGTGTGTGAAGTACTGGGTCCAGGGCAAGAAGAGAGACCTGCAGTTCACCAAGGCCGTCAGCAGAGGGAGCAGTTGGGAGACATGGAATGAAGACTGTTCCTACAGCAGATGCCATTCTAGCAGCAAATGGGGACACAGCAGATGACCTCAGAGCAGTCACAGGAGCCAGAGCCAGAAGAGCAGCAGCGGGGCTTGCAGCAGCTGGACTGACAGCAGCTGGACTGACAGCAACTGGGCTTACAGCAGCTGGACTGACAACAGCAAGGCTTACAGCAGCTGGACTGACAGCAACTGGGCTTGCAGCAGCTGGACTGACAGCAGCAAGGTTTACAGCAGCTGGACTGGCAGCAGGACTGTCCACAGCCTGAAGAACAGCAGCAAGGTTTACAGCAGCTGGACTGGCAGCAGCAGGGCTTGCAGCAGCTGGACTGACAGCAGCTGGACTGACAGCAACTGGGCTTACAGCAGCTGGACTGACAGCAGCTGGACTGACAGCAACTGGGCTTACAGCA